TTATAAAGCTCTCATTATAATCCATCAATGTGTAGATCCAGATAATTTTGAAAAGATTAGTGATGTAGAATCAGCGAATGAGGCGTGAGAGATTCTTGAAAAGTTGTTTGGAGGTGCAGAAAAGGTGAAAGAGGTGAGGTTACAAACTCAGAAGAAAACCTATGAATTGCTTCAGGTGGAAGAAAGTGAAAGTATAATAGATTTCTTCACTATAGTTACAAAGTTGGTGAATCAAATCAAGGTATGTGGAGAAGTGTTGACATCAAGATCAGTTGTTGCAAATATTTTGAGGTCGTTGGCTCCTAAGTTCGACCACATGGTAGTAGCGCGCCATAGAAGAGTCGAAAGACTTGTCAACATTGACGAAGGAAGAGCTTCAATGGATGCTTGAGTCTCATGAACAATGGATGGCTGAGAGAGTTGTAGGAAAGTCGAAGAGTGATATGGCTTTGCAAATGCAGTCAGAAAAGGAAAGGAAAGGCAAAGGAAGCTAGAATGGCAACAAGGTAGAGGAGGCAATAACAAGTCGACTGGTCGAAATCAGCAGGAAGGAAACTGGTCAAATCAAAGAAAACCCTGAAATCAAGGCAACCAAAGAGGTGGTGTTGCAGACAGAGGAAGAGATGGTGAATGTAAGCCTGACAAAAGTCACATTCAGTGTTTCAGTTGTCAAAAGTATGGTCATTACTTTAGTGAATGTAGAGAAAAGAAGAAGAATCAAGAAACTGATGCAAAGATGGCGAAGCATGAAGAATAAGAGATATTGCTAATGATCACAACAAGAGACGAAGAGAGATTCCAGGACCAGTGTTACTTGTACTTAGGATGCTCATCACACATGACTGGAAGGAAATATTGGTTTATCAACATGAAACCTTCGTCGAAGAACATGGTGAAATTTGCAAATGGCAATACTCTAGCAGCTGAAGGTATTGGCGATGTTTTGATTATGAGGAAAGATGGTAAGAGGTCAATAATTTCTAATGTGTTGTATATATCAGGCATGAAGAGTAATTTGCTCAGTATAGGATAGCTAGTCGAAAAGAACTACAAGGTGTCGATCAAAGACAAGATGATGAGAGTTCTTGACGCAGGTGGTAGGTTGATCTTGAAGGATTCAATGTCTCAGAATAGGACCTTCAAGATTGAACTCAATGTGATGGAGCACAAGTGCCTAACAACTGCAGCCAGCAGAGATGAATGGTTAGGAATTTTCGACTATGCCATCTCAACTTCAATGACATCAGAGAGATAAAGAGGAGAAATATGACTTCAGGATTACCTGAAATCGACATTCCAAGTGAAGTTTGTGAAGAGGAGAAATATGACTTCAGGATAACTTCAGCAAGGATGCAAGAAGGAAATCAAAGGCAAATCTGAAAGTCATATACTCTGATGTATGTGGTCCAATCTAGGTGGATTCGATTGCAGGCATTAGATACTTTGTCACGTTCGTAGATGATTACAGTTGAAAGCTATGGACTTACCCCATCAAGAAGAAAAGTGATGTGATCAAGGTATTTGTCAGATTCAAATCTATGGTCGAAAGACAGAGTGGTCGAAAGTTGAAAATTTTGAGAATTGATGGTGGTGGAGAGTATGTGTCGAAAGAGTTCGATGCATTATGTGGAAAAAAAGGGATTGTGCATGAGGTGGTGTCACCCTACACTCCACAACAAAATGGAATTGCAGAAAGAAAGAATGGAACCATCATGAACATGGTGAGAAATATGTTAAATGGAAAGCATATACCCAAAGAATTATGGGAAAAAGCGGTTTCGACAACAACATACATATTAAACAGATGTCCGACGAAGAAGCTTGAAGGAATCACACTAGAAGAATGTTGGTATTGTGTCAAGCCCAACCTCAGTCGCTTGAAGGTGTTTGGATCTATAGCACATAGACATGTGCCATATCATCTGAGAAGGAAGCTTGATGATAACTCAAATTAGATGATCTTGATAGGATATCATTCGACTGGAGGTTACAAGTTGTTCGACCCAGTGAATAAGCAGGTAGTGATCAGCAGGGACGTGATCATAGATGAGCTTAAAGAATGGGATTGGACTGAGAATGTCAAGAAGAATTCAGTGAGAATCTCTTGTGAAGAACCAGACACTGAAGTGAAGTTCGACAGGAACAAGTCAGAGATGAAGTTGGCCTAAACAGACCTCGACGAACAAGACACATGTCTGCAAGGTTGCAAGAATGTGTGGTTACATAAGATGATATGGTCGATTAAGAAGGTAAGCTGATACACTATGCTTTCTACGCATACGTCGAACCAGTCAATGCAGCTGAGGCATTGAAAGATTCAAAGTGGGTGAAAGCAATGAATGAAGAGTTAGACTCCATCGAAGTTAACAGCACCTGGTCACTTGTCGATTTGCCTCAAGGCAAGAAGGCAATTGATGTGAAGTGGGTTTATAAGGTGAAGGTGAATCCTAAATGAGAAGTAACTCGACACAAGGCGAGACTTGTGGCGAAAGAATTTCTTCAGAAGGAAGGAATCGACTTTGACGAAGTTTTTGCACCTGTTGTTAGGATCAAAACAATTAGATTGGTTGTTGGTCTAGCAAATATGAACAATTGGCACACATGTCAGATAGACGTGAAGTGTGCATTCTTTAATGGCCCCTTAGACGAAGAAGTTTATGTTGCACAACCAGTTGGGTTTGTGAAACGACGCGAAGAAAGAAAGGTGTACAGGCTGCATAAAGCCATATATGGACTTAAGCAAGCTCCAAGAGCTTAGAATAAGAGTCATGGAGCAATTACCATGAAGATCGACAGCATGTCAGCTATCAACTTGGGGAAGAATCCAATAACACACGGTCGAAGCAAGCACATCGAAATGAGGTTCCATTATCTTAGAGAGCAAGTAGCAGAAGAGAAGATGAACTTGGATCACTGCAGAACTGAGAATCAGATTGTAGACATTATGACGAAGGAAGTGTCAATCGAAGTGTTCAAGAAGTTAAGGTCTATGATGAACGTAGATATTTTAGACACAATGAATTAGGTGGTGTGTTAAATATGTAATTCATTGTTTTAGAAAGATTTGATTTGATTTAGAAATATCATATTTGATTTAGAAAGATTAGATTAGATATTTTTAGGCTTTTATAGTTTGGATTTTGCCTTGAGTGCAAGCTAACTTAAATCTATAAATAGGGAGAAACCCATATTTTGTAAACATCTCATCTCATCTCATCATATTTTATAATTCACAGTTTGCAGTTGCAAGTAAAATAACAGAATTTCCACGGTTTGTGGGTAGAGAGTTCTCTGCAAAAAATTATTTACCTTCGTCTCCAACGTTTATTTTCTTTCTTTCTTTCTTTTTAAATTTTTCTTTCATTGTCATTACGTGAGTTGAAACAATTTTAAGATCAAGATTGATTGAGTAAAATTATCCATAGATAGATTGTGGTTGAATTTCCAATAGATATATGGACAATACAGAAAGTCTAACAACAAATCTAAGACAAATTCTCATATAATTTTTATGTTTCATTAAGTTTAACTCATTTTTCAGAAAATCTAACAACAAATCTAAGACAAATTCTCATACAATTTTTATGTTTGATTAAGTTTAACTCAATTTTACAAAATTGATTTTTAACGTGAAGATTGATCAAACTTTATAAACAATATTTGGTCTTTAAGCTATGTTGAATTAAATCCACTTTTTCACATCCTAACACAATACTGTTGGAAAAACGAATGAAAGAAACTCAAATGTAAAAATTGGAGAAAATATTTAAGATAAACTTTGATATCATGTAAAAATTGAACAGTATATTGAGTTTCTGAAATCCACTTTTTGGGTATGCTTTGTTTACTATTATAAAAATAGAGGTTTGGATATATGCCATATAACTTGTATGTTGTTTAAGAATACGATTTGAATAAAAAAACAAAAGTGAAGCAATTATAAAGGATTAAAATTAAATAATTTAACAATTATAAATTATTAAACTTGATTAGTTTTGACTCCATGCTTTTATTGTTATGTACTAATACACGCATTAATATATTTAAGGAATGTGTAGTTTTCAATAAAAGCATTGTGAAGATAACGATAACTAACAAAATAGATCAGAATTTCAGCAGATTTTATGAAGTGATGTCTTATCTAGTTAGCAGTTTGTATGATTATGCATAGTACACAAGAAAAACATTGAAACGACACCATTTGTCTAATCTCTCATTCAATAAATTATGCTAGTATATTTCTCTGCCAAAGCTGGCATGTTTTCACCTAACTTCAACCATAACATCATCCACACAAATTAAAGTTAATCTCTATGTACCCTTTTTACACAATTCATCAAAGTGTTTGGATAAAATTTTAACATTAGAGATTTGTCGAAATTAAACATCAATATGTGTGTTCTAAATTGTGACTAGATTAATGATATTATTTTCCTGATAAAAGCTGAACATGTTCCTAGAATGGTTTTGTTGGAAATAGCTTACTAGTGATGCATGTGAAGTGAAGCCAAATTGGTATAAATATTCAATAAAGTGGCTATTTTGGAAAGTAAAAATAGTGATTGAAGTGACTTGATTTATACATTTTGAATTTGTTTGTTTGTAAATAGTGTAGAGGCAAATAACACTGTATAGATGTAGCATTTAATAGTACTACTACTAGTATATTAATAATATTATTGAATGGTGCAGAAAGCCAAAAGAGAAAATGACCAAAAAACTCATAGCCACTCCTTGTATGATGACAAAAGAAAGATGGTTCAATAATTTCAAAAGTTAGCATAGGCTAGTCAATTCAACCAGCAAAAGATGAAATAAAAAAACTGTGATGACTTCAGTCATTCACACCTTCAAAATCTTTTAAAAAATTCAGAAAAAAAAAAAACTAAACTCTTGTATCTATTAGTATTTGATTCTCTTAGAAATTGATAAATTTTTATCAAAACCAAACCCTACTCTTACCTCTTTCTCTCAAAGCTGTTTCTCTTTTATACATTGTGATGGATTCACCAAAACTACACAACATTAGACTACAAACTTCTATAACATTGATTCTCATCATTCTTTTTCTTACGTTATTTGCTTCTAGTTTAGGTACAAACATATCAATGTCAAATGTTATTGTTTTTTCTTTGTTATTCTCTTGATTCTTCTAACTAATGTTGTTGTTGACATTTTTTCATTGAAGGGTCACAAAATTTGAAGAAAGATCATGGAAATAAAGATGGAAAGAAGTTAGTATTGGGGTCAAGACCTCCAAGGTGTGTTAACAAATGCTTGAGCTGCAAGCCTTGCATAGCTGTTTTAGTTATCTCTCCTCATCACAAAGTTGGTCACATTCATAAGGCAATATTAGAAGGTGAAAAAGATGAAGGTTACTATCTTTTGTCATGGAAATGCAAGTGTGGTAATAAATTATTTCAGCCATGAAAGTTGTTTTATAGCTATATAGTGGCATACCTATATGTATAGTTTGAAAGGTTCAGCAATTCTTAGTGTGTTTTGTTTGTAGTAATAGTATGAAATGGAAATGGAACCAAAATTAACAACCTTGTCATTTTCAACTAGAAATCGATTCATTCTCAACAGATTTGACTAGAAATTTGTTTGTTAGTTTTTGGTTCAAATTTGCATTAGTTTATTCATATTATTATTATTATTAAATAGTAGATAGATGTATATTTTTTTTTGTCCAAAGGGAACAAGAATTTAATCTCTTCATTATCTCAAATTTTGTTATTTTTGTCTTAGTACCAACATTTTAGTCCATACAAATTACAAAAGCTGCATGCTTTTAGTTAGTTCCTATTTAGATACTAGCATGTATAGAGAGAGACATTAAAAGAACGTCTTATAATATCATTTATTATATCATTCGGTGTATGATATATCAATTAAATACATCAAACAAATCTTGTGAATTTTCGACAAATGAGTTGATTTTGTTATATCTTATTGACATATCAAATAGTATGTAATTAACGTTAAATTTTATAAATAGAATCTAAATATGTGATAGTTACTTCCAATCCAATAAAAATTTACTAGATGTATGGATAATATTAAATGGCTGTATAACTATTTTTTTGGTAATAGTACGTCCTTTTTTTCATACAAAGATGCTAAGACTTCATGAATGGAACTTGGCACTTGGATTATTTCATTAACTCTCCTAACACCAATTTTGGTACAATTTATTGTTTTTAATTATATTTTATACAATTTCCGCCCCCAACCAAACACTCAATTTGGTACAATTTATTGTTTCTAATTATATTTTATACAATTTCCGCCCGAACCAAACACTCAATTTATTTAGTTAACAAATTGGTTCGTTGCATCATGCATTGCAATACATATTTAACCTAAGAAATCAAGCCATGCTCTAATTTGACAGCGATATCCATTTCCGTTCCAATTTTCCTGGGAAGCGCCAGCAGCTTCTGATGGAGTTGTTTTATTTAGATTTGTATCATAAGGGCAGGAACTGGATCAGAATGTCATTTGTCGAAGCAAACCAGAATCTAGGCTGGTCTCGGCCGGTCTCCAAATAATGCTTTCTAGTTTCGCACAAAGGTTCTTGTAGAACTGCAAGAGTACAAATATATTGTTACTGTCGATGCATAAGCCTGCACATATAAATACTAGTGCATTTTGCAATTACAAAAGTTTACAAGTACACAAACATTTGAGAAGGTGGCTATTGGAAACTAACATGTTTGATATGAACTATAGGACTATCAAATCTGTAGACAACTCCATGCAACCAACATAAGCACTAAAACCATTTGTGGGTGTGTGTAATTGGAGAATTGAAGAAATTTGAAGTAGCGCAAAGACACTACTAGCCAACACCTTGCATCACTACCATTAGGAATTGAAGTATATGCACAATGTTGCTTCAACAAATGGTATTTTGGGGTACAGAGAAAATTAGCAGTCTTAAGTTTTCCTCTCTTTTAACAAACTCCTGAGTTAATTAGAATAGAAACATTGATATGAAAAATAAAGAAACTCTGCATATTTGTGTGTAATGGTCTTTCTTCCTTTTAGATTAAGCTATTTCACTTTAGTGATTATCATGGCATAGGTTGAAAGCATTTTGGTTTGAGATTCCAAATACAGATACTGTAAAAACCACTAACCTTGTGATACTCGAGAGTATCCCCAGCTGCCTTCCGAACATCTACCATGAAAAGGGAGGGTGCGACTTCAAACACCTTTTGACAAGATGCAAAGATGATTTTAATTAGGCCCTGATACAGAAAAAAAATCATACTAAAAATAATATATACAATAAACACACAAATTACCTCCAAGACCACTGCAAATTGCCCAACCTTATTTGAAGAAACTCTTTCAATCCTCATCTGCCAGGACGTTATAATTAAAAAATCAATGGAAAAAATTGAAAATCAGATATAATTACCATACATTTCTTTTTGGGGTCAATTAGAAAAATATCTATCAAATCTATAATATCAAACCACACAATTTTTTTTCTCTCTTAAACCACTGATTCCTACTTAGGGACCACCTCCTTAAAGGCCACACTGTAATTAGGATAGTATTTCTCATTTCAAAGGAGAGTAATTTAACTGCTGCTAAAATGAAGCAGCAGTCACAAACCAGACTGACATCTAATGAAAACAGGAATTAATCACAAAATTAGTTGCTTTGAATTATGTGAAGAGTTCCTCATACGTCACGATGTCAGTTACCATCAGCTTAAGCATCTATGGCCTAAGCATAATCCCGAATTTATTTTGTACAGTATGCAATGCAGAGTGATGATACCTTGTAATTGCGAGAGTGGACCTTAAGACCCATTGACTCTGCAACAGCTTCGATACATGAAATTATAACTTTTGCTGGTTTACGTGAAACAAAACGAGTCTGCCGTTTTACATAATCCTGTTCAAACAGCAAAAGAATATCATTAAGGGAAATGCAACAGACGGTCTTGAAAAAACAAACAATTAGAACCAAGTTGCAAGAAAGCTAAATAGTAATATTATAATGAATTATATTCAAGTACCGAGACTCAAACCTAACTTGAAATCAGATGTCCTCTGATGCCCACCTAGGTAGAGGTGGAAGTACCAGAAGTTACATGGCAGCCAGAGACAGAAAAAGGGACCATGATATTGCAGTGCAAGAAAATGTACCTGATGCCTGTCAAATAGTGGTGAAAGATTCAACCCTTGTGATAAGGTTATCATCTCAAATGCATTCATTATCAAAGGACCTCCCTCGCTAATTTGTGACCGTTCAGAAACATACCGGTCCTGTAAAACAGTACAAGTTGTAAAGTCTATTCATATCAGCAAATGAGACACATGTTAAGTATGAGTGCATGATTTTAATCGCTCAGAATGAGAATCTAGGGACCACAACTGGGAGAGTACGAAAAATAAAAACTAAATCTTATAGGTGTTGTCTTTGATATATACTAATCTCTTGTCATGCACTCATGCATGCCAACTGCCATGACACATTTTATAAGAATAAATGCTGTTCTTACAATTTTGTATCCAAACTTTTCATCAGCAAATGGAAAAAATCCTAGTAGTTGATTTTCCTTCAAACTCTTATATGATTATACAATTGGCACATAAAGTAGCCAAAATGTTTTGATAACTATCCTAATTCCTTATGAAGTGAAAAAATAGTTTTCGAAAAATTTGACATATTTTATCTGAATAAAATGTATGATGATCCATGTCAATTGGGCCTCCAATCAAAGTTATTTTACAGAAGGAAGAAAATGGATATGGGCATAATGGAGAAGGGGAATTCTGTTACAGAGGAAGTGAGGAGCTGACAGAATGGACAGCTGTCAAGAAGGGATTGGGCTGAAAATATAGAGAAATGGGGAGGGAACATAATATAAAGCGGGAGAGTAGTGAATAACGTTGACAATCTTGGAGTCGGTTTTTGAAGGTGTTTCCTAAGCTGAATAAGGAGCAGGTCCTCATTTACCCCAGTAAGGAGCTATCTTCTTGTTTTCTAGTTTATTTCCCTATTGTGTTTGATCCTGTAAGGAGCACTGCACCACTTTATTCACATTTTCAGTTCTCAAATACTGTATCACTCTGTTACAGAGGATTTATCCTCTGGTTGGAAGGAATTTTTTCTATCAAACACAAGTCATAGTCCATATCTGGTTCCTATCAATGTGGCAGACCACGAGGGCTGTTACCCTATAGTATGGATGTCTTTTTCTTATTCAAAAGCAATTTTTAGCATAACCAGAGGAAGAGATAAACATATTTCTGTATAAAGAATTAATTCATTAATCACAATCATATTTCTTTGCTATAAATTTAAAACCTATTTCAACAGTGTATTGTATTCTGTTTTCAAGTCATCATTCTAGTATCAAATCAAGATGAAAGCCTTCATGAAGTTTTCCTCACATATGTCCAAATCGTTCACAGGTTAATTGACATATATTTTGTTTACATGTATTATATTTGCAACAAACTGTCTCATATGTGTATGGACATGTAAAAACGGACAAACACATACGTTTGCAAAAACAAGTTTTGCCTGTATAATTTTTTTGAAAAGAGAACAAAAAACAACAGCATACCTCAATATCATCAAAAACAGCCTGAACGTCGTCCAAGTTCACTTTATCGTCTTCTCTGAGTTTGACTGGAGAATAGTTTTTCCGGAACCATGGATCTTGCATTATTTCTTTTATTTTCACACGCTGCATTTATATAATTAGGAATAGCAAATTAAATTAGAAAATTTTGCCTCAATTAGTAAAATTTCACAGATAAGTGCAAATCTTGATACAAACATACTTAATTGGACAGGAGATCATAACAATGGCACAAGCATATACTATACAAATTAACGTATAAGAAAATGCAATTATTAAATTATCCAAAATAATCACGTCTGCTCATACAAACATTTAAAAAACCTGAAGACTATTAAATGGATCATAATTTGCATCCGTTAAAAAAAATTATGCTTATCTACTTTTTAAATATTTGCAAATTTTATTTTCCCTGTATATGAAAAGGAGAAGAGAGCAAATAAAATAAAATCCAAAGAAATTGATTATACCTGTTCAAAGTACATTGCATAGACTTACATGTAATAGGACCACGGACTTAAGTATAACTATTAATAGTAACAACAATAATAAAAATTTGTCAAGGTAATCAACAAGAAATGCACTTCATACTACAACAAATGCATGTATTCATTTGCGTCTACAATAAATGGTCACAAAGAGATCAATCTACTCACTGTTTTAGGATTAGGATCCAAAATTTTATGTATCAATGTCTTTGCGCCAGCAGAAAACCAGAGTGGGCAAACAAATTCTGCAGCACTGATCTACAAGTACAAACGACAAAAAGAAAAATCAACAGTAAAATCAAGCGCAAAAACAAACAGCTGACTATTAA